TTAGTTAACTCTCCCTGTGCCTTTCCATATCTCTCTATTCCTATTTTTACCCACACCTCTCCCTAAACCTAATAATTTCTGGTTTGCCAAATTCTTCTTTGCCCATTCTTCGTAGCCCATTAATATATAGTTGTTTGATGTTGAATAGATGTATCTGTCGAACTAGACTGTATCTGCAGACTATTGACTGTGCAAATACAGACTTTGGTTGATGCTTGCCTTAGGATAGTGTTCTAGCGCAAAACTGGTTATTTTCATCCCAAATGGGCAGAGTAAGCCAGAAAAACACAAGGAAAATGGCAAGTCCGGGTATCTCAACTCCCACTCATGATAATCAGGGGACAGAACAGATAATGAATAATCCAGAGGACAGTTCCCAAATAGCTCTATAAACACTGCTGGCAAACATGGTAAATGAAAAGATTGAAAACATACAAAGGACTCTGTATGAGCGTGATAGGGAGAGAGAGGAGGCAAACCAAAGGTTTATACAGGAATATCATGAGCGTGAGGAAGCTACTCAAAAACTGATACAGGATTTGCGAGAGCAGTGAGAACACTCAAAGAGAAAGGCAGGAATGGCGTGAGCAGGCTGAGAACACTCAAAGAGAACTACAGGAATGGCCTGAACGTGAGGAAGCTAAGCAAAGAGTAATACAGGAATGAGAGAGCAGGATGAGAATACACAAAGAACACTAAAGGCATTCATGGAATCCACTAACAAAGAGCTGAAGGAAGTCAGGGAGACCACAAAGGGAATGCTGAATGGAACCCAACAGAAGGAATGGGAGTCCAAGGAAACCAAAACCAATCAACTAAGTGATTTGAGAACAAACACTGAACACCAAATTAAGGAAGTAAAGAAGCTCATACAAGATCTAAAACAAAGCTTCAACAAAGAATTTGAAGCCATCAAAGCTGACCAATTAGAAGGAAAAGAAATAAAAAACAAAGTAGAAAGTCTTGACAGCAGGTTAGACCATGCAGAAGATCGAATCTCGGGGATTGAAGACAGCCTAATATTATAGAGAAAGAACATACAACCATCCAAGACAAGTCCAAGAAATATGATAGATCTATCCAACACTTGGAAGACACCATCAGAAAGCCTAATTGAGGATAATGGGTGTAGAGGAGCATCTAGAAACAGAAGTTAATGGTCTAGGAAATTTGTTTAACAGGATACTAGCAGAGAACTTCCCAAACATGCAAAAAGATAGGCCTATTCAGATACAAGAAGCTTTTAGAACCCCAAATAGACCAGACCAGTATAGGACATCCAACCGTCACAGTATAATCCACACAGGATCAATTCAGACCAAGGAAAAGATCCTTAAAGCTGTCAAGGAAAAAAGATTAATCAGCTATAAAGGGAAACCAATTGGAATCACCTCAGATTTCTTAGCAGAGACAATCAAAGCAAGAAGAGCCTGGAATGATGTATGCCATGCCCTAAAGACAAACAACTATCAACCAAGAATACTGTACGCAGCTAAACTCTCCTTCATAACTGAAGGCCAAATAAAAACCTTCCATAGCAAAGAAAAATTGAAACAATATATCTCCATCAAACCACCCCTACAAAAAATTCTGAAAGATGTCCTACACATAGAAAACCAACAAGACCACAATAAAGGCCAAGAAACCGCACCCAAACTGAGAATCCAAGAACCATAGGAGGAACCCAGTAGCTGCAGCCCCCAAGAAGGTGGATTACATGGCAGGAACTCCCAAATACCTCTCAGTCCTATCTCTCAACATTAACGGACTTAACTCTTCAATTAAGTGACATAGACTGTCTAGCTGGATTAAAAAAACAAGATCCTCATCCTCTTTCTCCAACATGTTTAGTGGTAAGAATGGAGGCAAGCAGCTGAGAACATCCAACTGCGATGCAGTGCTGGCGGTGCCCACCGCTTCCTCTCCTACTTCTCCAAACAGCAGCAGCTCTAGACCCCCTCTGCCAGCACCAGGCAGTGCAGGACATGCTTCCTTTCTGCAGCCAGTCCCTTCTCAGAGACCTGCCCCGAGAACTTCTGCACAAACAGATCTTGCTCATTCTGGAAAATGACCTCGGTGACACCTCTATTTGGTACATTCTCCAGGGATCAAGATTTGAAATGGAAGCTTAAATGTCTGTTTTCTGGAAGCCAGGCCCTTTCTCCTCAAGCCAGGTTAGCAGATTGCAAAAAGACAAGAGTAAGCCTCATTTTAGACAGCGCATGGTGGGGAGCAGGTGGGGAGGCTGGCCCACCTTCTACAGACATGGCCTCACTGTGCACCCAGCTTCCTTCCTTGCAGTGGTGGATCAATGTGGTCACTCAGTGACATCCAAATGTCCATCACACTGCAGGCCATTGTGAACTGTGTTTCCAACTTTGCTGCCATCTACTCTTGACATATTTGGCCCCTGGATAGCAGAATGGACTCAATAACTTTTGTGGAAACAAGTTTGTCATTCAGGCCTTTTCTTCTGTGATCATTCTGGGCCTTGATCTCAGGGTCTGGGCACTGTCTCTAAGCCTATGTACTGAAGGTTAGGTTAGTGCTCTCTATCACTTCAATACAGCTCCACATATGGCTCTTTTGGTGTTGATTTGGAAATAACAGTCTCCTGGACTTCCCTGCAGGCACAGGGTTCAAATGGAGTCTTGAGAGCTCAACCACCTGGATAGTGAGAATTTCAGAAGGAAGCAAAGCCACCAGTACCAGGCTGGTCAGGACTTTTTACCTGGCATTTTACTGATCCTTCCAGGGGGTTCACACAGGGAAGACAGGCAATCCAAGTACCACCTGCAATTGGTGCAAATTTCTTCATCGCAGTGTGAGCAGTTGGTGAGGAAGAATTCTTAGTGTTCTTCTCCTCACATTCTCATGACTCTCTCAACCCAATCATGCCAGAAAATACCAACTCTTGGGTCCAAAGCAGACCCCTTTGTTTCCATTCTGTTTCCCACTGAAACTCACATGAGAGCTCGTGAAAACCTACAATTCAAGTAGGAAAAATGTCAATTCTCCAAATTGTGACCCCTTTCTGTGGGTTGTTTCTCTCCGGATAGTAGGGAAGAGCTGTGATGTGTGCCTATGCAATAGTGAGAACATTTTCCTAGGTAAATTCTGTCCTAAAGGAAGGATCTGGTCCATTCATGATCTGAGTGTGTACGGCAACTGATGCCATCCAGTCCCACAGAGCCAGGCCTGGGCTCACTGAAGGGGCTCCTCTTTGGCATCACTCAGGAATATTTACAGATGCAAATATTCCCCAACCAGGGCACTGACAGGTCATTCTTCTCTTTGCAGGAAGCTGTCCAACCACATCCACACCTGTGTCAGCATGTCAGCACCTGTCTGTAGGCATGGCTGAGGTGGCCATTTTCGAGCAAGTCCTGAAGAACCAGGCAGAGCACAGGCCTGAGATCGTCCTTCCACAGCATCCTGAGGACCTAGACACAGGTGTTTTTGTCACTACTTCTATACTGGATATTCACATGAGTTGGTCTTGAACAAACTCTGAATGCACACTTTTACAAAATTTAAGCACAGCCACTGAATTAGGAGGGACTAGGGTTTGGGAGTAAGTGCAGGCAACGCATCTTCCCTATGGCATGTGAGGACTGTGACAAGGTGCAGACAGTACCACTGGTGGTCTGTACTTGTTTCTGTGTGCTTCCAGCATGGCTGGGGAGAATGCACACAGCGTGAGGGCTGAAGAAAGGCAACTGAGGTGAATTGCAGAGCTTCTATCAGTTTGTGATTGAGTAGGAAATGTAGACTTGGTCCTTTGCTTGTGGACCTAGCTGGGGGAGGTACTGAAACCTTAGCAGTTCCGTCCTAGTACAATAGGTCACTCGGGGCATGTCTGGCCATCCCTGCCTGTACTGGAAGCCTGCTTTGGCTGCATGAGGAAAGCAGCCTCTGTCATTGCTCACTCCTGATGCTATGATGTCTGACTCACCACAAGCCTATCACAACCGAGCCTGGACTGAAGAGGCCGGAAGCCAGACAAAACACACCTTTCCTCCTTGAAACAGTTTCTCTCAGTCACTTGTTATAGACAAGGAAAGTCTAACCACTTCCTTGTGAAGTCTCTTACCTGCTGAGTCTCAGTTGCCCCTTCAGTGAATCAGTACAAAGACTGAGTCAGAAAATACTGGAAAAGGCCAGGCCATTCTGGGGCAGGGTAATATATGAGGATCCCACTTCTGGGCATTTACCCAAGTGATCACAAACAAGGCCATAGTAAAGCTACCAGCACAACTATCTTTATTGCAGCATTATTCATAATACCTAAAATATGGAACCAACCCAGATGCCCCTCAGTAGATCAATGGATTAAGAAAATGTGGTACACACACACACCACACACACACACACACACACACACACATGCACACGTGTGCGCACACACACACACACATATATATATGTACATAAAATTGAATTTTATTCTTTGCTTACAAAGAATGTCACCACCCCATTTGTTAGGAAACGGAAAGACCTGGAAAAATCATATTAAGTGGAGTAAGTGAGATCCAAAGAAAAAGACATCTCATGGTTTCCCTCACTTGCAATAATTACTATATAGTTAGGATAATTTTATCAGGTGAGCAGAAAACCTCTCAAGCTATTTACATATGACCATATAAGATGGTGTTAAGTGAAATGAACCCCAAGATATGGGCAAAAGTGATGTTTCTTTGTTGTAATTTTAAAGTACAATGTGATTTTTTGGTTTCCTTTCTATGTTCTTCCCCTGTTGTCACTGCATTTGATTTTGGTACCCTGAATCTTGTATATACATTTCTCTACTTTGGGGAGGGTAAGGGGAATAACAAAATATTGAAACAAGGACACCAGAGGACCCACTGCAACAATGATCCCACAAGACAGTATATTGGAAATGAATGTTAAAACTTCAGGGTGGGGGGAGGAGTGAGGGAGGTGGAGGAGGAAAAGGATAGTGGGAGAACAACAAGGGAGGGGGTAACAATGCTCAACAAGAAATGTACTCATTACCTTACTCATGTAACTGTAACCCCTCTGTGCAGCATCTTTACAATACAATAAAATCAATTACTTGTTTTTTAAAGGTCAGGCCATGGTGCTCCTGTGACATTGCCTCCTACTGCATTTGTACAGCAGGGATTGGAGGATGACCCCAGCTTTTCTAGGCATTTGATGGGCAACTTTCATGATCACCCTGTGTTCTCATTCACTCAACTACACTGTCTGAAGGTAACTTAAGGAATTCTGTCCTAAGACAACAGTTATCGGTAGCTCTTAATGTGTGGTGATAAGCTCCAGACAGATGCCATGTTTGAGCTGAAGTGTCTCGTTCTAACTTGTAGAATGGGATAAGCTGGGAGGGAGGGAGAAAATAACTGGAAACATGCGAATGCTCACTGAAGGGTTAAAGTACTTGAGGCAGTGACCATTTGTTGCTCGTTTCAGAGCAGAGCAATACGTGGTGCTAACCCACCTGGTTGTATGCCTTTAGAAGACCTGCAAATCCTTAACTTGGGGCTCTCCTCCTAGGCTCCGCTGTGTCAGAGTGTAGGATGAGGCCCGAGCTGCAGCCCGCCTAAATAAAACCTCAAAACAGCTGTAAAGTTGACTCTCGGTGGTCTTCTTGGTGGGGGTCCTGCAACCTAGGCACAACACTCACTTCCCTGGCACCATCAGAAGCCAGGACTGCATTCACAGGCTAGGATAGCTAAGAGTCATTGGATGCAAATAAACTTTAGGTAGTATAAACAGTCTGATCTATCTCAGAATGTTTATCATGCCTTCAGATATGAGGCATTGCAGAATGGCAAGATGTTTCTCACACCTCCATTTCCTCATCCGTAAAGCTACATGAAGGGAGCTGGGAGCAGGGGTGCAGGCCCAGAGTCCCAGTTACTGGGGAGGCTGAGGCATGAGGATCACTTGAGCCAACTACATCAGGATCCTCCTGGGAAATGCAGTGAGAGGCCAATCTCTAAATTGAGTATGCAAATAAAGAAGTATACAGTAAAGATTCTAGTACTTGACTTCAGCAACATGCTTCAATTCTGTAAGCAACTATTCACTTACTGGACAATGGAGGCAACACAAGTGGGACTAATTTCTAGTCTCTGCAAGCTGTCAGCTCTGCTGCACTGGGACAACTGGCTGTGTCCCTTGGGGTTTTCTCTGTTGTCACCCTTGTATACAATGGACACAGCCCGAAGTCTCCTTTTCATCAGGTTTCTCAGGAGTTACCATCTGTCCTTGGTCTCTAGGTGCACAGTCATTTGCATATACTGCTCCTCTTCTTGCTCTTCCAAAGTGGCAGACACCAGAGAAAGCTCACCCAACAGGGATACCAGCCAGGTCAGGCGAGAGATGCTACTAAATGCAGGAAAGAAGCCAAACTGCCCTTCTTCCATTGGGCCAGCTGTGGGCAATCACAGGTGCTGTGAGGACTAGGAAGAAGAGAATATCTGAGAACAGGCAGGACCCAGGTGCATGGGAGAACACATGGACAGGGGGACCTTGCCTTACCATGCGGCTAACTGTAGCCTCACCACAGCAAGTCCCTTGTAGGTTTGAACTTCAATTTTGCTAGTAAAATTAGACATGCTACTGGCAATAGCACACAATTCAGCTACACACGATGATAACTTGTAGAATGGGATAAGCTGGGAGGGAGAGAGAAAATATAGTCAGTTTACCTGTCTACTTAGGTAGATACACACACACACACACACACACACACACACACACACACACACACACACACACATTGCAGGGTGATCCCCTGTATTACAGATTGTAACCATTAATTCCCTGCTAGACATGGTACCCCCCCCCCCAAAATAATGCCCACCAAGTTTCAAACATGCCACTGGGGAAATGTGGTCCTAGCTTCAAGCCTTCAAGTCTCCCAATATTCCAGACAAGAGGAATTGCCCAGGTTGAGGCAATGAGTCAGGGACAGTTCAAGTCTTAAACTTTGATCTCTAGGAAGCCAGTACCACAAAGAACCGAGCAGGAGACAATGTCGGAGTTCATGCTGGAATGATCAAATCTGATTTTGAGCTCAGATTCTAATTTGGGGGCAATGCATTCATCAAATGCTTCCTACATTGCTACATAATTATAAGGGTAGCTCATCCATGAGGCAGTGCCCTTGTTCCATCTGTGTATCCCCCTCCCGGATCTCCCTTGGATCCGTTCTGCATCCTGGCTCTTCTCCCAGAAGGCAGAGAAGAGGCAGCATCATGAATCTCAGGCTCCCAGCTGTGCCACCTGCTGGACAAGCCTTCTATGTCACTGGCACCTGAGGCTCCACACTCAGGCTTTGCCCTCCCCACAGGGGGCCACCCAGTCCATAGGAAGGATCTGCTATTCCACAGGAGCAGCAATGGCCTCCCCTTTCTCCTGCCCCACACCGGTAAGACAACTTGGTCAGTGAGCGTGACTACTCTGCTAGGAAATATGGGAAATTTCTCTCGTCCCACCTCTCCCATTTTCCTCTTGCTTTTTATTTACTTGGTTGCATTTTTAGCACGAGACATAGAAGAATACATCATGCTAGAAAGAACTGGAGCCTTCCTTCTAACTTTAATATGTCTAAAGAGCTCTCCATGAAATCCAAGGTTGTGCACATTTTTGGTAAACACTTCGTTTCTTTTCCTGGTTATTTAAAATGTCCTTTTTCTTCATAACTCAATAGCAATCTATCTAAAAGATTTTCCTGATATCAACAAAATTTTCTAAACATCACTGAAGGGAGAAATCCAAAAGTTAAAAAAAATCCCTATTACATACTACCAGATCAATTATGGTAAATTTAAATTTTTTTTAGTTGGATGGGGGCAAAAACTCTGGAGTTGCACATCTAAAGCAAATACCTCTGTACCTGTAGGTGTGAGATTAGAATTCTAATCTTGCTTACCCGAATATACGCATCTTGGTGATGTTTGGCGAAGTACAGCATGTTGTCAAGAGCCAGCATCCCAGGAGGAGTCTGGGTGAAGTCCATGGCAGGGTTGACATGATTCTGCAAGAAAAATCAAGTACTAGGTGAGGTTAATTCTTCAGCAGACTTTGCCAATCATAGCAGGGGGAAAGACAGTGGAGGTGCACCTTGCCCACCTCAAGACTGAAGGTTAAGTTCCCAATGACCAACTATGTCAACCTATTGGGATGGGCAGAGGAACTTCTTCAAGCTCTATGGGCTCAGCTAAATCACTTTTTATAACCCAGGGCTGGAAACCCAGTTAAAGATCGAAACACAGGATCATCCTTAGTCACGTCACATTTCAAGGAAAAGAAAATAACACGCAAGTTCAATCTCCGGCAGTTGCATTGAAGTGAAGCCAGTGGCACAGGGCGAGAAATATCTGGGCTGGAGTGACTCTGCATCCATTTCAGGAGCTGACTGAAGGGAGCCATTACTCCCGGATCTGACCCATCCTCAGGCTTATGCATGAAGGTCGGTCTGGCCACGCCTATCCATCGGCTTTGTAAACTGTCTTGGAGACACAGTCCCCAGGCCTCTACAGGCGCTGGGCTCATGTCTGACCTGTGTAGTCTGCTGACACTAGCATGTTTCTGAGGATTGTGTCTGGCATGATGGACTCCACATATGGCCCAATGTTACCAATGTGCCTAACCAAACAGCAGGCCTGGCTCAGACAAATATTTGTGTATGTATGACATTAATTGATCAATGAACACTATGATAGCTCTTCGGGCAACAAACAGCTGCCCGAACACATCAGCTGCCTGGACACATCAAAACCAGTCACACCAAACACTGGACTGAAAATGCAGATCTGAACAGTGAATGATTGAGAGGAAGTCATGTTTTCCATTTTTTTTTCCTGTTGAACACATGAAAAGAACATCCAAGTGGGGTGCTGTGGTATATTCCTGTAAGCCCAGCATGTGGGAGACTGAGGCAGACAGATGGGGAGCTCCATATCATGACAACCTTTGCCAGCAGAACAAAGGCTGAGGATGTAGCCTAGTGGTAGAAGAGTGTGCCTAGCATGCCCAAGGCACTGGTTCAATTCTCAGTGTTGCACAGAGTCAAAGGCCATTTGTTGTTGAGGACTGTAGGTAGAGATGCTACACATTTTTTCCAATTTTATTTTCGCGTACAGATGCTGTACAGAGGGGTTACACTGATATGAGTAAGGCAAGGAGTACATTTCTTGTCGAGCATTGTTACCCTCTCCCTTGTTGTTCTCCCACTATCCCTTCCCTCTCCCAACTCCCTCACTCCTCCCCTCCCCCCAAAGTTGTAAAGTTCATTTCCAATATACTGTATTGTGGTTATCATGGTTGCAATGGGTCATCCTGTGTCCTTGTTTCAGTGCTTTATCATATTGGACTTGTATCTAAGTTTGCTGAATTTATCTAGTAGTTCTCACCATTTATTTGGTGACATCATTAGGATTTTTCTGTACAAAAAAGTGCATCATGTACAAATAACTTGACTTCCTTCTTTCCTGTATATATGACTGTCATTTCTTTCTTTTGTCTAATTGCTCTGACTTGTAATTCTAGCTCTATGCTGAATAGGAGCTGGGGGTGGGGAGGTATCGAATTTCACTACAAAAATAACAGCCATGTGAGATTAAGCATGTGTTAATTAAGTAGATTTAACTATTCCACAATGTATATTTATTTCAACATATACTATACATGAGAAAATCACACATGATATTTGTCAGTGTAAAAATATTTTTAAACTGTTCAATGATTATTAATGACAACTGCTTTCACCTCACAATCTGGAAAAGTTGCATATTTTCATTTTGACTCTTCATTACATTTTAAATAATCACTTTGAGTTCTTCTCACTCCTTTCCTCCCTCCCCACCTCCTTTTCTTTATGCTGGGATAAATTCTAGTCTAACAGCATTTTTTTTTCTTATTTGTGTACAGGAAGGCCTTCTTATATAAGGTTCAAACCACCCACACTTTGCTATATTATTAAAGTGTACACCTAAACTATTTTCCTAAAGCTGATTTGAAAACTTGCTTATGAGCTGATAAATGACAACTCCAGGCCACAGCTCCTGCTTCAAAACCACACAAGTTCACCACATCCAAACAGTACCAAAGTACTGAGTCCAATGTTACATTTGAACATTTCCTCCTCATTCATTTATTAAAATGTTGGAAAGTTTTTAGAATACTCAAATACTATGACCAATGTGTGTGTGTGTGAGAGAGAGAGACAGAGAGAGAGAGGGAGAGAGAGAGAGCGCATAAATCATATGGTGTGTCACATACAGTGTGTCACACAGTATGGTTCAGCTAGGTGTGACATGCCTCATTCACTGTGGTGAAGGACCAACTCCTATACTATAGCGGTAACAGGGGAAACAATATCCATGATTGGAAATGGACAACCAGAGAATTCACCACAAGAGCCATTTGTACTTAAATGATCTCCTAGGCAGAGTGATTTATTAGAGTTTAGTGGAATTTCTCCCATTGTATACACACTGGTTCTTGGAGGCATGAGATTTTCATGAACCTAAGTGACAGAAAAGTTGCCTTTCTGAGGGCTTCCACTGCAGCGAACCTGACATGTGTGAAGTCTCAGAATAACGCAGCCACCTGGTCCTCTTGTGGTATCCACATGACGGACGAGGAAACCAAGTTCACCAGCTCCCGGCCCTCCCTACTTGTCTGTGAACAAGTACACAGGACTTCTGTAGACAATGCATTTCTACCATCCATCTCCTGTCCTTACTTTTCCCCTTCCTACCAGTATGACAAGCCAGATGCATTTATTTTATTTTGGCACTGCCAACATTGGACTTTCATAGACCGACAAAAGTTTATTTGACATCAGCTAATCAGTAGGAGCCATCCTGAAGCACAGGCCAGCCAGTAAAGGAAAGGGCGTCAGACATAAAAGAGAAAATCGTGACATTTATTTCAGACCTACTGCTAGTATCGACTTATCAATGTAATCCCAAAATAAATACACACGGAAATGAGAGAAGAAAAATAAATTTCTCTGAATCTAATTCTAACAACTCTCTTAAACACTAGGTAGATGAAGATGACCATGTAAAATCCCCATGGCTCAGGCACCATCAAACTTGTTTGAGTTTAGCATTTACAATCCCAGTGAAGACACCTTGCATCAATCACACCCATCCTTGGGCACCTGGGTGATCAAAGAAGTTACAACTGTTCTTCAAAGATCCTTCCAGTTAAAAACCAACATAGCTACAGGACTGTAAACATTCACATACAGCAAGACCAAAGGAGGATATTCTTAGGGGAGAGGAACTCAGAGGCACAATGCCTATGTATATCTGATCATATAAAATCATATTTATCGATGTGACCTCTAGAAAATGGAAACAAGAGGTATTTTGTTGCTTTTTTGTTTTCTTTTCTTTTTGTCTTGTTTCTTCATTTGGGAGGGTAAGTGGAGAGTACAGAAATAGAAGGACAAAAGGTGAACAAATGGGGCAGTGGTACTCACTAGACACTATGTTAAAAATGAACTATACAACCTGTGGATGGGGATGGAAGGGAAAAACTGGGAAAGAGCAAAGGAAGGGGTGACAATGTCCCAAAAGAAATGTACTCATCACCTGACCCATGTAACCGTAACCTGTCTGTCCATCACCTTTATGGTAACAATTTTCAAAAAGGAGGAAAAAGAAAACCATAGTGCAGTGCCCTAAGATCTGTGGAGAAATGGATCCAGGATCCTGCATGCGTTATCAAAATCTCATGATGCTCAGTGCATTCTCTATAATAGCAAAGCATCTGCACACATCCTCCACATACTTTACTTATTCATTATTCTTAATTATCTTTAAGAAGTTGTAGCAAGGGTTTCAATTCCACCATGTTCTCTACACCTTTGCTCGATTCCCAATGGATGTCCAATATAACATGAGTGCTGTGTAGGTAGCTGTTATCCTGTACAGTTGAAGGAATGAATGATGGCAAGCAAAGAACCTGTACACCTTCAGTCCAGATGGAATTCCTTTCAAATACTTTTCAATCCCTAGCTGGTTGAATCTGTGGGTGAGAAACCCACAGATGCAGAAGGCCCCCTTTAATTGATGTGTAAGATCCTCATCCTCAAGTTAGTAAGTGGAGCTACTAAAATTGTGTCTATGATGTGGCAGGTATTATGTAAAGTGTCTTGCATATTCGAACCCTTAGGCCTCATCAAATGCTCCCAGGGTCAACATGAACTTTCTCTTCCTTTCCCAACAAGAAAACTGAGCCAGCCAGGCACCGGTGGCTCATGCCTGTAATCCTAGCTACTGAGGAGGCTGAGATCTGACAAAGCCAGCCCAGGCATGAAAGTCCATGAGACTCTTATCTCCAAAAAACCACTAGAAAACCGGAAGTTGTGCTGTGGCTCAAGTGACAGTGCTTGCCTTGAGCTGAAGAGCTGAGGGACAGCGCCCAAGCCCAGAGTTCAAGTCCCACGACTGACCAAAAAAGGAAAGAAAGGAAGGAAGGAAGGAAGGAAGGAAGAAAGAAAGAAAGAAAGGAAGGACGAAAGAAAGAAAGAAAGGAAGAAAGAAAGAAAGGAAGAAAGGAAGGAAGGAAGGAAGGAAGAAAGAAAGAAAGAAAGAAAGAAAGGAAGGAAGGAAGGAAGGAAGGAAGGAAGGAAGGAAGGAAGGAAGGAAGGAAGGAAGAAAGAAAGAAAGAAAGAAAGAGAAAGGAAGGAAGGAAGAAAGAAAGAAAAAGAAAGAAGAAAGAAAGATAGAAAACTGAGCCATTTGGAGTTCCTGTAGCTCATTCAAAATTTCAAAGCTGCTTAATGTGTATAAAACCAGCAGGAATCATAATCAGAGGGTAAACTCAGAGTGCAGATTTTGAAGCAGAATTTTGTAGCATCTGATTGACCAGTTGGAATTCCCAGCAAATTTCAAACAAACATCAGACTCAAGTTCTAGCTCAGTTTGAACTGCTCAGTCAACAGCATTGTGTCATGCAGAGTAAGCCTAGATCTGTTCTAATCAAAGCTGTAATTTCTCTGCTCCCCCCCCCCCCCAC